TCCCAATAAGTCCACAAAGGAAAATTATAACCTAATTAGTTCCATGTGTTTATACTTTTATTCCATAAGGTCTTTTTTTCCTAATTTATATTTTTTGTTAGACTATAATACCCTTATGTCTATTATTGATATATATTATAAGAAAGAATGATATACACGTTTCCATCTGTTTTGGTTGTGGTAGGATTTCGTTCCTATAGGAGAGAAAATGACAACACAGAGTTCGTGGTAGTATTTCGTTGCGATAGGGTTTCATTCCTATAGGAGAGAAGATGACGATTCAAAGTTTGTGCTCTGTTTTTTTTTTTTTTTTCCTGCAATAGTTATGATTTCAACCGGAAATCAAAGGAAGAGAGGAGGATTTGAATCGAAGGAACAGAGGTGATGGATTACAAACTTGTTTAGTAGATTGATTGAAACCCACATTCGACTAGATTAAATCAAAGGGAAAAAGGAGATGGATTTGAATCACAACTATTTTTGTATCTAGTCTATGTTGTTAAATTCTTTTTTCCAACTTTACTTTTTGGAATTGATGGACATGCAAGTTTTATTTGGTTAAATGGGGTTATGGGTTTTGGCTAGTTATATGGTTGAGATATGGCTCTGGTTTTTGAATGTGGTGAATATTCACATCGCAGGAAGAATGTGAATGTATATGAAGGATTGTGTGCTCTGTTTCTTGCTTTTAACATTATTATCTAGATTAAATTTTGGTTGGTTGGTTGTGTGGGGTTGTTGGTTTTGGCTAATCATGTGTTTGAGTTTTGATTTAAATTTTTGAATATGGTGAATATTCACATCGCATATATAAACAATGTAAATGTTCATAAAGTGTTCGGTTTTGGGATTAGTTATGCAAAATATAGACTTAGCTATTTCTTTTGCATGATGTGATCAGTGTTAATATTCACATTAATTTGAATTGAAAATTTGTCATCGTGTTATCAATTGGTGTTAATATTATTCACACGCCAATATAATATTGAATGGTGAATATGTTTTCACTGTGGTCATTACCACTGTGACAAGGTTCACATCAACATTGCATCAACTTACACAACGACAAACCTCATCTTTCATTTTGAATACAAAATGATGTGAATATTCACACTAAAATATACGAATGTGAAGGTTCACATGAATTTTGGAATATAGATAAAGACACTGTGGTTTCAAAGTGTTAATTACTAATATGGAATGGTGATATTAAAATTCACATCAAAATTGCATTGCCCACAAATTACATTAAGCCAATGATTATGTGTTCACAATCGTAAAGCTGCTGACAACAATGTAAAGGTTCACATTGATTTTTTAATCTTTAAGAATATGACTACATCAACATTGCATTTAGCACAAACCATAATTTTTGTGTGTACACAAATATGAGGTGTATGTTTATGCTCAATCAGATTATTGATGTGAATGTTAATATCACGAATAAAACATCAAATAAATTAATTTAGTCACATTAAGCCAATGGTTATGTGTAAATAATTATAAAATAACATAAACCAATATAAATATTAATATTGACTTTCTAGGAACAAATATTATGACAACATACAATTGTGTTTTATTAAGCACAATCAAAATAATTAATTATGGTTCTTTTGTCCAATGTATTCTAATATTTACAAAATCACAAAGGATGTGGAATTCATATTCATATTTTCTCACCGATGTAAAATGTGTCTTTGGATGCCTTGTATGTCTCTAGCACGCACACGATGACATCATTGAACTTCATGTATTTGTTGAGGTCAACTTTACCGATCCTCAACACATTAAACAACTGCCAAAATGGCGTTTCCTTCAAACAATCCAGCTGAAGATCCGAGAACTTGGTACTCATCATTAGTTTCACTAACCCAATGATGCTAGATCGGTAGTTGGCCTTTTTCATATTCACTTTTCAGGGGGGGCTGGCTATTTGTTCAAGTTTGTCTTTGACGTGAAACTGTTCTCTTTTTTATTTTGCCATGAAATCTATCAGCAACATCTATTTGTTCAATTAGAAACAAATTTACTGGTAATGGTCACAAATGGTAAATGATAACAAGTACAAACTATATGTGCTGTGAATAGTGGAATAATGTGACCATGGTTGCATTGAGCAAAACCATGATGTGAATATTCACATGAACAAAGTACAACATAGGATCAAATAATAAAAGTCAAATACATGGCGTGAACATTCACATTGATCAAACACATGGTGTGAACATTCAAAAAATAAATTGAGTCTGCTATTTCCTACAATGAAAACACTAATGCGAACATTTGAAATACTGATGTGAACATTCACATATCTAAGCATAAGTGTGAACATTCACATCTTTGGGCACTAATGTGAATGTTCGCATCTATGGACAATGATATAAACATTTACATCTGATAAAGGATTGAATGGATTGGACATGGATTATGCATTTTTGTTGACATTAGCACAAATTTATTTGGCATGTATTTCACATCAGTGCGTTACAATCAAACGTGAAGGGAAAACACAACAACGATAATATCAAATAGTTATTTTGGAATTCACATTGAACCAAAAATAAAGGGGGAGGAGTGTAAATATTCATAATAACTACATATTACCAAACACCATGACAATATCACCAATTCATCAACTACAAACTATAAAGTTTTGCATCATACTCAAACATGATATGAATATTAAGTTGACAAACATGGACAACATTAAGCGAGAATGGATAATTGTCAATTAGTGTGTTTGGTTTGAGTTTTCTGGATTAAGTTTTTCGAAAACTAAGGGTGTGTTTGGTAACGTTTACGTTTTCAAATATTCATAATAACTACATATTACCAAACACCATGACAATATCACCAATTCATCAACTACAAACTATAAAGTTTTGCATCATACTCAAACATGATATGAATATTAAGTTGACAAACATGGACAACATTAAGCGAGAATGGATAATTGTCAATCAGTGTGTTTGGTTTGAGTTTTTTGGATTAAGTTTTTTGAAAACTAAGTTTTTTGGTTTTTGTGTTTTTTTTTGTTTTTAGTGAATATTTTTAAATTTTTAAATATTTCTTTTTACTTTTTTAGATGTACCTTACTTAGATATATCTAAAAAGTAAAACATTTATAAAAAAATATTTTAAAAAATTAATAAATATATAAAAATATAAAAAAATGTACTGAATTCTTGTATTTTTTTTTTTGTATTTTTGGTATTTAGTGAATTTTTAAAAGTTTTTTTTTTAAATTGTTTTACTTTTTAGATGTATTTGTGTTAGGTGTGTCTAAAAAGTAAAAAAAATTGCTTAAAATATATATAAAAAAAATCAGTAAAAACAAAAAAAAACCCGAAAAATAAGAAAATAGAATTTTCTGAAAAGTGTTTTTGGAAAAATGGAACCAAGTAAGCTTAATGGTATTTTTCACATTATATTCACATACATATGTTAATTCACAATGTTAATGTGGAGATTGACATTAACATTGTATCATATTACACAACCACAAAAACAAGCATTGTTTTGAATATAAGAATGATGGGGATGTTCACATTTATAGCTTACAAAGTACAAAAACATTACAACATTAGCAATACATTAACCACCCACCACAATTTTTGTGGGAATTAAAACATATTGTGAATATTCACATTGGAATAGATGTCAACATCAGAAAACAATGGTTTTATCCATATATCACATAACAAGTCCAAGAAATGAGGTTTCTCATAGGTATTAGCTTGATGTAAATCTTCACAATGTAACATACAAATGAATTGGTCCACAACAATCATTTAACAATTTTATACATGCTATGGTTTCTATGTGAATGTTTACATCATGGGAATAGCAACAATAACAATTAAAAATAAAAAAATCTTTAAAAAAAAAGAGCAAAAACTTTAGGAGATTTACATCCATTCAAGGATATCATCAATGCTAACAACAACAGCAAGAAAGGAAAAATAACAACAATAATATGAACAATAAAGACCAAAATCATATCAATGTAATTATGGGGATGTATGGAAGTTCGCATTAGGGGAAAAAATAGTTAGGGTTTAGGATTTATATACAAAATGAGTGAAATCATTTACGTTTGGTACCCACTATGAGATGGTTGGATTGTTACAAATAATCATTGTGAAGATTCACAGTAGAAACGAAGATGAGGATGGTGATTCCCGCGGCCGACGACATAGAGAAGACGATAAAGGAGTTGGGGCGATGAAACGATGAGATGATGAGACAATATTACAAGCATGGAATATAGGATTTTTGCCAGATTGTTTCCACTTTGCATGGAAGAACTCCTATATTTTCAGATTCTGTTGGTTTGAATGGCAAGAGATATTCAAAAACGTAACATGGGTGTTTTGGACAAAAAGCTAAGCATGAGACTTATTAGAATAGTCAAAAACAATTTGGATTAGATGGAATAAAACATTTAGGAATAGAACACTTAGCAATGAGATTTATCAAAAAATCACCCTTGAGTTAAAAGTTGCTTTTGCAGCTTGAAGGCTAAAAAGGCTAGATGACTTTTTAGCTATGAAGTCATTTGACAAGTTCAAACAAATTACATATAAAATTAAAATTATATCCTTTATATTATTTAGGATTATACATGAGTAAAAATATAAATTTTCTAAATTGAGTGAAACAATTTTATTATTTTATTGTGATGTGATATCATAAATAAATATTAATTAAAAAAAGTCAAAAAATACTTTTTAACCATTTTCTCATATTACTTTCTAAAAAAATCAAAAAAATTTAATAAAAAATCAAAAATAAACTTTTTATCATATCAAAGTAATTTTTAACCATTTCCTCACATTACTTTCTAAAAAAATAAAAAAATTTAATAAAAATTCAAAAGTAAACTTTTTGTCATATCAAGACATCCCTTTGTTTCTTTGGCTTTGGCCCGGTTATTATCCCAAAAAAAAGAAATTATTTTTTATATAAACATAAATGAAATGTTACTAGTTATCTAGAGGATGAAATGGCTGTCACGTCGCATGCAACAGCTCAGCTTGTGTTACCGTTACAGCGTGTGCCCCAAACCCCTCTTCAAATAATATTCCGCACCCGCAAAACCTCTTGCCGCTTCTTCAAATAACAATTCCACACCTGTCCCCGAAGAATCACCATATATACACATCGAATTCTCCGGCGACACACCCCACCACTTTTCCATCGAGATCTCCGCATTTTCCCACCAGATCCGCTGGATTATCCGGATACATAGATCAGTGTGTGATGGCTCCGGTTTCAGCTCTTGCCAAGTACAAGCTCGTGTTCTTGGGCGATCAATCGGTTGGTAAAACCAGCATCATCACTCGATTCATGTACGATAAGTTCGATAACACGTATCAGGTAAACAAATTATCAGCACATACAATCTTTTTAGAACGAGAATTTCTCTCCAATTTGATTGCTTGTATGGATCAAATTTCTCAGGCATTGTGATCTGTTGAAGCGTTTGATTTTTATTCCTTGTTTTTTTTTTTTTCTTCTTAAATTTCCCCGAAGAATCACCATATATACACACATCGAATTCTCCGGCGACACACCCCACCACTTTTCCATCGAGATCTCCGCATTTCCCACCAGATCCGCTGGATTATCCGGATACATAGATCAGTGTGTGATGGCTCCGGTTTCAGCTCTTGCCAAGTACAAGCTCGTGTTCTTGGGCGATCAATCGGTTGGTAAAACCAGCATCATCACTCGATTCATGTACGATAAGTTCGATAACACGTACCAGGTAAACAAATTATCAGCACATACAATCTTTTTAGAACGAGAATTTCTCTCCAATTTGATTGCTTGTATGGATCTGATTTCTCACGCATTGTGATCTGTTGAAGCGTTTGATTTTTATTCCTTGTTTTTTTTTTTTTTTCTTCTTAAATTTGAGATTCATGTACGATGAGTTCGATTATACATATTCGGTAAAGATTATCAGCACAGCCCATCTATTTAGAAAGAGAATTTCTCTCAAATTTGATTTCGTGTATGGATCTGATTGGTTCCGCATTGTAATTCTGGTTGAGTTTAGTTGAATCTTGGTTTGCATATGTGATTGAGCTGATAATTTTGTGTTCTGTTGGAGGATTTGATTTTTACTTTCCTTTTTGCTTCAATTTGAGATTTACTTGCTTTTGTTTTATCTTTGATTTATCCTTCTAGCTAGTTTAGATGTTAATCTTTGATATTAATTTATCCGTATCTGACACGGATACTTTGGGGACAGGTATACGCCACGTGTCCCCTTATTTGAGTAATTTATTTTTAGGGATAAACTTTGAGGACACACTAGAAACATGCTAACTTTTCTTTTTCTTCATTTTCTTTAGTGCTTTTGATGAATATTTAATATTTATTTTTTTCTTCTTAAATTTAAATATTTAAGAGCATCTCCAATGCTTACTTTTGTTTTTTTTTCCCATCAAATTTGAGTGAAGATTTAGGTTAAAAGGTTCATCTACTACCAAGCATTCTAACGCTAAATTTTCAATTTTCATTTTTCATCAAACCACCAGTCGACCGGAATGATGTCTGGGCAGTCATCCAGCATAGTGTAAATTTTCTTCAAAATTTCTCCAATTCGGTTGGCCAGCCGGTTGATTGACTGGTCATCTATCCGATCGCCCACCAATGGTCATCTACGAGATTTGATGAAAAGTTAAACGCTCCATTGATTTGATGAAAAAAGTATGACTCATTTCATTTGATACCAATTTGATAAAAGTTTTGAGTCTGGGTTGGAGATGGTCCAATAGATCATCTATAAAAAAATATATATATAAACAGTAAGCGTTGATTTATTTAATTTTTTAAAAAAAACAAAACAAAATATTGAATTAGAATTAGTTTTTATTAATATTGATTGTTTGTGAATGTAATATTAATTTAGATAGCAAATAAAAATATATGAAAACATATTTTATTTCCGTGTCCCCGTCGTGCCTGTATCCCCATTTTTTTAAAATCGCCGTGTCCCATGTTTGCATCCGTGTATGTATCCGTATTTGTACTTTTAAGATGTTAATTGAGTTTCCTTTGTTTAGTTGAAGTGAAAATACTAAAAAAGAAAATAAATCTTAACCTGCGATTGTCTCTTTTTACAATTTCTAGATAAACACAAAAAAATTCTAGCCCATTAAGCTTAATAGTTGTGCAAGGATCTTTTAATCCAGATTTATGCATTCTCTTATCACAAATAAACTATCCTATAGGAATGAGGATTTTGTTGTATTTTACTTGCAGAGTATTGACGCGCAGTTTTCCTCACGCTCTGTTTGTTTGGTCAGAAAACATTTTCTAGCAAATATTTTTTGTATTTTCTAGTATTTACAATGGAAAACAAAAGGCAACGGAAACATTTTCTATAGTCAATGGAAAACAAGCCTATATGTGCTGAAAATGTGTTTCACTTTTAAAAGGCGGAAAACGTTTTCCAAACTAAAATTTTGCCAATGTCACCACACCATCACCACCACTCTCACTCATCTCCACCACCACACCACCATCACCACCAAAGTCGCCCCACCATCATGCCACCACCTCCACTTCCACCTTCGTTCCACCACCACTACCAAACATAGAAAAATATTTTCTCTGAAAAACATTTTCTGAAAAAGGTTTCTGCAGAAAACATTTTCTACCAAACATAGAAAAATATTTTCTCTGAAAAACATTTTCTGAAAAAGGTTTCTGTAGAAAATATTTTCTATTAGAAAATGTTTTCTGCCCAAACAAACGGAGCGTAAATTATTTTTAAATTTAAGAACTTAGGGCTGTCTCATTCATCAAACTATTCAGTTAGTGACATCCCTTGAGGGGAGGTGGCTTTCATATGAATAGTTAGGGGGGAAAAAATATAATTGACCTTTTCTAAAACTGAAAGTATGTGTGTTTGTGTGTGTATGGTATTGGATTTAGTTGGACTGAGTTGCATTAAAAAATTAACACTAGTTGCCGAGTAGTCTGAATTGCATCCAGCTACTGAGTGATTGTGGAAATAAATTCTTCTTGGCAATTGTGTTATAAAACTTGACTATTCTAGCTGACCCATGAATAAAAAGAAAAAGAAAACTTATGCATTTGATTCATTATGGGAATATTATCATGCTTTGGTGGTTTTGAGCTTATGCATAAGTCTTCACTTGTGATGTAACTACATTAACAAGGTCGTTCTGCATTTTGTCTTACTCCTACTAAAATATAAAGAGACTATAAAAGAATGAAAAGAATTATTTGGCTTACCTATGAATGAGGTAGAGGCTATGTATATATAATAGATTCATGATACAATTCAAAAAACGATATAAATAAGGAAACAATACTAAATCAATGATTGACACAATCACAGATTATATACATAATACTAAAAATAAAAAGATTTTATATACTCTAATTTCTATATTCAACACTCTCTCTCAAGATGGTGTGAAGATATTCAACAATCGCAGCTTGCCAATGGATGATTGGAAGAAGCCAGAAAAAACTCAACGGCTAGTTCAAATAAATGCTCCCGAACAAATCTAGTAATCCACTAAATCAAAAAGGCCAAAAAAGTGCTTAATACATCAGCACCACACCCTAGAAAGGAAAAAAACAGGGACGAACTGCCTGGAAGAGCTGCTGAAGCATCTATAGCTAGGAAACACCCTGATCGGTAGCCAACAAAACCCTGGTCAGCATCAGAGGCCAGAGCTAATGCCGAGAGATAGTTTATGGTCGTGTCAGACCGTTGTAGAAATTGGTCGGAACTAATGTCAGGATAGTTTAAGGTCATGTTGGACTGTTATACGAATTGATCGGAATCAATGTCGAGACAGTTCACGGGGTCATGCCGGACCGTTGTAGGAACTAACCAAAATCAATGTCGGGACAGTTTAGGGGTCATGTCGGACCGTTATAGAGACTAATCGGAATCAATGTCGAGACAATTTAAAGGGGTCATGCCAGACCGATATAGAGAACTAGATGTTGAAGAGTGGCACACACATAACTTATGATGTGGTGCTGAATGATGATGGTATAACAGATGACTGAGTGTGCCAAGGGGTAGCTTATTAGAAAGTGCACCAGGGGGCGGCTTTGGTGGTACGCTAGAGGGGGCGGCTTTAGTTGTGCGCTAGAAGGGGCGGCTTAGGTGGTGTTGCCAAGGGGGTGACTTGGGTTGTGCTCCAGAAGGGGCCGCGTAGGTGGTATAATACCCTCCTCAGACTCAAATAGGTTTGAAGATAGAAACCTATTTGAAGTTGAAATAGAGGGAAAGACAAAGTGGAGCAGAAACATACAAAAAAAAATGGATTGCGAGTTTGGGATAGTAATAAACTAGTGGATAGCAAAAGATAGCACCACAAAGTGATACTGAAAGAAAATATGGCAGTGGGATGGGTTGAGGTCTGACGGGTGACCCAAGGCTGTCGCCCACCAGTAAAGCAAAATTACTAGGTACTTAACCTAGCTCTGATACCAAAAAGAATAAAAAGAATTATTTGGCTTACCCATGAATGAGATAGAGGGCCATGTATATATAATAGATTCATGATACAATTTAGAAAACGATATAAATAAAGAAACAATAGTAAATCATAATACTAAAAATAAAAAGATTCTATGTACTCTAATTTCTATATTCAACAACTATCACATCGGGAGTCTTGATCATCGAGGGTGAGATTTTTTCTCTGCAAGGGGATATCTCTGCTAGTATAGAGGGATATTACAAGAAGTTTTATTCAAAGTAGGAGTGTAGGAGACCATCATTAGAAGTGATGGATTTTGTTTCCATTAGGGAGGAGGAGAGGGTTTGGTTTGAGAGACCGTTTGAGGAGAAGGAGGTTATAATGGATCTTCGTGTCCTCAATGGGGTTTAAGCACCAGGACCATATGGATTTTCTATGGCATTCTTCCAACACTATTGGAGTGTGTTTTAGGGAGATGTTATAGTAGTTTTCACTGATCTTCGTGAAACAGGAAAGTTTGAGAAGAGCTTGAATGACTCTTATAAGTATTGGTGCCTAACATGGGGAGAGCCTGGGGTATGAGGGATTTTAGACCCATTAGCTTGGTGGGGACTGTATATGACTATACTGAAGTTTTGGTTGAATGTTATTGGGATGGTAATCTTTGAGACTCAAAATGCATTTATTAGGGGTAGCAGACATCGGATACGGTGTTAGTTGCTAATGAATTTGTGGATGCAAGACTTAGGAGTGGTGTGCCAGCTATTATTTGCAAAGACATTGAGAAAACATATGATCATGTTTGTTAGTTTTAGGTTTTTATTGTTATTTTATTCATAATATGTATATATTAATATGTGTTGGCTAAGATCAGTGCTATCAAAGGTGCATGAAGGCGCACGCACTTGTGGTGCCTCAACACTCTTGAGATAAGGCAACTTTAATGAAGAGTAAACGAGTTGCTTGAGGCATGTGAGGTGCAAGCAACAGAGAGGCACGCATCTCCTTCAATTATGCCCAATGTGTTAAAGATGTGATATATCGACTAAAGTCCATTATGATTTTATGTGTTAGCACATACTACTAGAGCCCTTCAAATAAATAAAGGGTCTCAATCCTCATCAACAAATTGCAGATACATACAAAAACTTTATATCTTGACTTGCATATATTATTTTGTTTTACTTATTTCTATCTGGACAATGACAATGGGGATGAATAGAAATTTGCAACCTAAATATTTATTGTTTAATGAATGAATTTGCTTAATTGTTTATTTTATTTACTTACTTTATTAAATATTTAATTGCTTAAATATCTTAATTGCTTGATTGTATAATTGTTTAATTTTTTTTAGTTGTTTAATTGCTTGATTTGAATTTGATTCATTTAAAATTGTTGATATGATCCAAGTTATGAAGAACAATGTAATGTGCTAGGAGGTAATAATCTCATATAAAAATACAAAATGTCATCGGGTAGTAGATAAAATATACAATGAATTTCTCATTCTCGTAAAAGATTATGCAATATCTATAACATGCACTTCGCTTTGATGAAGCTTGTGCTTCACCTAACTTCTAGGTCCCAAACACTTGTAGAGATGGAAGTGATGGATTTGCTTATGTATTTTAACGACGAGACTTTCAATTCTTGTGAATGGAGTCTTGAAAGGCTTCTTCCATGCTTGTGGGTTGCGCATATATAAATATATATGACTCATATCAAAAAATTGACAACGCAACATAGATAAAACCACATTTGTTAAGTTGAGAGACTTGCTTTTAATGATTCATGGAGCCTAATGCAACACATATATAGTCTTTGATTGATTTAAATTTTGTTTTTTTTGTTTTTAATGTTAAATTACTGTTAACTAAATCAAGTCTTAAGTCCCATCAAATGAGGTCGGTTACATGAATTCTTCTTCTCCACTCAACTCTATCAATGCTATTTGATTAATCAAATTAAGGAGATTCATATCTCTATTTACTATACTAACCTACGTCAATTTAGGTCCGTCCCTTCCCCTAATACTTCCCTCTACCGTCATTGTATCGCATCTCTTCACTACTGCCTTTGTTGATCTCCGTTATATATGATCAAATCATCTCAATCTATTCTCTCTCAGCTTATCTTCTATCGGTGCTACTCCTACCCATTCAGGAATATACTCATTCCTAACTCTGTCTTTTCTAATCTTGCCACACATCCACTTTAACATCTTCATCTTAGCAACATTCATCTTATCTACATTTTGTTTCTTAGTTGCCCAACATTCTGTCACATATAACATCGCTGGTCTAATAGCTGTTCTATAGAACATTCTTTTTAATCTAGTGGGTACTCATTTATTGCACAGTACCCCAGACACACTCCTTCACTTAAGCCACCCTATCTTAATTCAATGGATCACATCTACTCCAATCTCTCCAGCTGTTATGATAATCGATCCTAAATAATGAAAAAGTTCACTCTTAGGTTGTTCTTGGTTCTCAATCTTCACTTCTCCTCTATTTCTATTGTTACTATTTCTAAAATTACACCCCATGCACTCTGTCTTAGTTCTGTTTATCCTAAATCCTTTAGACTCAAGTGCTTCTCTCCAAATCTCCAACTTAGTGTTAACTCTTTCTCTAATCTCATCCACTAATATGATATCATCTGCAAAAAATCGTTAAATTGCTGTTAGTTTTAATTAATTTTGATTGTTTATGGATATAATATTTATACACATAGCAAATAAATATTTGTAAATATAGCAGCAGGTTTTTTTTTTTTTTTTTTTTTTTTTTTGCCTTTTCATATCTTAACTGTGTTTTGATTTTTTTGAAATCGATGTATCCCATATTTGTGTCCAAATTTATATCTGTATATGTGCTTCCTAGCTAAGGACAACCTTAGCAGGGGGAGAGAGAGAGTGGTAGTGATGCACTGAAGAACAAGAATATTGTTGGAGATAATTATACGTGAGGCCTATATGGAGATCCCCTTTATATATAGGGTGGCAAGCCAGGGGAGCCAGCTCAGCTGGACACACGTGGCGCAACCCCCTTTGGCTAGGCAAAATGAAGGGGGGGCATAGGGGTGTATCGCATGGGTCAGAGGATAGGAATGATGCATCCCTTTCTAGTTGTGTCAAGACAACTCAAAGACAGGTCTTGGTCAAAACCCTCTCTCTCTCTCCAAGACTAGTCCGATCGTGTCTCGCCCCAAAGGGGAAAAGCTTGGCAAGCTCTTGAACAAACTTTGAGTTCTATCCTTCAATCCACAAGTCCTCTGGTTTTCCTTACCATGCACCTGAGCCTTGCTCCCAGCCAGGTGATCATGAGGTTGTCTCGACTTTGAGGTGGAGATCAAGCTCAGTGTGGCTATTGGTGAGCTAGGCGATTGAGTCAATTGTTCAATGAGCTTTGATGTGAGGGATCTTGGCTAGTTTGGTGGGGTTATTGACTAGCCAGGCAACCGAGATAGCCAACTCCAATCTTGGCGAGCGCGAGAGTCACTCAGGGTGTTTGCTTATGTTCCAAGTATCTATCACCCTAAGGTGACACATGGCACGTGAGGTTTGTTGTAGAAGCCATAATGTGATGTCATGGCACATTCAACGAGTGCCATGTGTCAACATGGGCCCATAAACCTACAATAGTTATTACAAATGCTAAACTGCATTCATTGTGACTTATTTGAGTTGCTTCTATTTTGTTCTAATTGTTTTGATTAAAAGCTAATTTTGTGACTATTCTTTTCCTTCCAAGCCGACCCCATTTGATGGGACTTAAGGCTTGGTTTGGTTTGGTTTATTCTTTTCCTTTCAAAATAGTAAATTGACTTTGGATATTATGTGGTGCCAAATAATGTCTCCTTATGTATATCTTGTTAGTTGTTAGTAATTCTAGAATATGCTTTTCTGCTATGCCTTTTCTTTTTTTCTCATCTCTAATCTCATATATGCACTTACGCATCATAAATTGTAATTCAGGCTACTATTGGTATTGATTTTCTATCAAAGACAATGTATCTGGAAGATCGGACAGTTCGATTGCAACTCTGGTAAGCTGATGCAGTTCATTCTCATTCTAGAAAAATGCCCATGAATATGCATGCACAACAGCACATTTATAACTGCAATTAAACTGATGCAGTGGCACACCTGAGGGACAAAAGGAATTTAGTTGAAAATGGGCCAATTGCCTGGGCCATATTCACTTTTTGTGTTCTACAGAAACTCTGAATGTCTTACATACCATCTTGCACATGTTTGATATGACAACTTTTAATTCTGATAAGAACCTCTGACAATCTTTGGGTATTTTCTCATCCCCTCCACCCCATTACACAAAAAAAAAAAAAAAAAAAAAAAAACAAAAAAAACAAACCAACAACAACAACAACAAAAAAAAAAAACAGCATGAGTTGTATATCTTATGGTTTGTTGTTTGTAAGTGGATTCTTATAACTACATAGTGCTAAGAATAAGATCCCATACTGTTTAATATATTAGTTTATGAAATTTTATGTTCTCTTTGTTGTCATGCCATGTAAATATTTTTGCGCCCCCCGCCAAATTCAACCGTTTTGTTATTCTAATTTTCTTTTACTATCAGAGTATATCAGTACTACTACTACCTGTGTAACTTACCAATAGGGTCATATGTTTTTGTGCAGCCGGTTGAAGTCCAGAGAGAATAATTCAGTTAGTGTTTGGTAGTGCATTGTGTGTTAATTTAGGTGATTAAATATATGTGTCCTTTGCTTTGGGTTCATGAGAAGGATCTGCATACAAATCACTAGCAAACTTAAAATCGATGTGTTTACTCAGCTCTTCTGAACATCTCTTTGAAGTGTGCAAGTTTGCTTGATGGAATCTTAACATATGAAATAATAAGGTGCGTATAATGATGTTAATCTATTGAAAGCACAATCCTGATGTTTGGCCGGCAATGTGTTTGAATGGCATGCTATATTTGTAAAGAGATGGTGATTAGCAATTTGCTTGTATTTGTTGCTTGATACATTGATTGCTATAGTTGAAGAGTGTCTTGTCACGTGCTAGGAGATGGTGATTTGCAACTTGGTAGTCGTTATTGTTTGGTAGAATATTCCTTAGTCTGGCTAGGCTTTTCATGGTCTTGATGCTTTTGACATTCTAATGTGATTGATGCCATATTTTTTGCATCTATATCCTCATTTTCTATCTATATTGCTCAAAAATATGATACCACCGGTCCTTTTATTATTTGGCTGTTTGCATTTAGAAGTTAGCTAAAATTCCCAGCCAGAGGTGTTACCTGGTTGGTAGTAATAAAATGCTTATTTTGCTAGAGTGGAAAAGGTATTGATCAGATGTGAATTTGACTTCGCTTTTTATTTCTTGTTTTTTATAATGTTGATGAATGGTAAGCATGATTTGTTGACTACAGATACGATTTACCTTCTGGAAATCGTCCATTTTCTATTTGGTTCAACCTCGTGTTTGGTACTACGTGAGGTATTGGAATGTATAATCTTTGGAAGCTTTATCTTCGATTTGGTTTGTTTTCAGGGATACTGCTGGTCAAGAAAGGTTTAGGAGCCTTATTCCAAGCTATATTAGGGATTCCTCTGTTGCAGTTATTGTGTATGATGTTGCAAGTATGCATTTTCTTCTATCTTTTCAATTTGTTTATTTGTTTTTCAGAACTTATATTTTATTCCCAAGAAAAATGGTGTTTAAAGGTTACTTACAGATGCATGAACAGATGCAGTATTAGCTACTATAATTTCAAATGTTCTGTCTAATCATCTTGCTATAATTTCTACTTGATTAATTGTAGAAATCTTGTATGATACATTTCTGTTATTTCATTAGATCTTTTTTGGTGGGGTTTAGGCAGGCAATCATTCTTGAACACTTCAAAATGGATTGAAGAGGTTCGCACTGAGCGAGGCAGTGACGTTATAATTGTCGTTGTTGGGAATAAAACTGACCTTGTGGATAAAAGGTAATGATTTGTTTTAGTTTATTCTGAATGCAGGTAGCATTCTGTAGTTAGTCATTTGGTTTATATATCTATATATACCTAGGACATATTGTAGATAGAATAAATTTACAGTTTACACTTATGCAAGATGCACAGTGAGAAGTAACATTCACTATGCAGTTCAGCTCTATTGATGTGGCCGATGCATGAATATGAAAAAAGATGAAATTTTAGCATTTATGCAGGCCTTAAAAAGGCAACTTCAATAGGGTTCTATCATTGTTCCACCAGCTACCCACCACCCACTGTCACCACTTTCCACCACCGTCTTCCGCCGCCAATTGCCACCACTTGTCATTTCTCACTCTTTTTATATTTTTAAATTTTTTTAAATATTTTGTCAATTACCAAACATGTTTGTAGTTTATGTTTTTCTAAAAATAAACAAAAAATAAACAAAAATCAGTTTATAAAATTTTTGTAAATATAAACTAAAAACGTAAACGTTACCAACCACACTCTTAGTGTTTTAACTTTAACTGAAAGAAAACACCTTCTCTGTTCCTGTTCCGGAGATTTTTAAAATTTTTATTTTGTTAGGCTTGTTTTGTACTAACCATGAATACCTTTTTCCAGCCATTATTTCGGAAGATTGCTGCAGCCCTACCGGGAATGGAAACACTCTCTTCAACAAAGCAAGAAGACATGGTTGATGTCAATCTCAAGTCTAGCAACCCTAGTGCATCTCAGTCACAACAATCAGGAGGATGTGCCTGTTGATAATATAGTTCCTGCTGCCAGACCTGCCCCTTGAAGATTACTGCCTCATTTATCTGTAAATCTCTTATTCTTAATATTATTTATAAATTTTTGGGTGTGGTTGGTTTATTTAAAAAATTTAACTTAAAAACAGATGGTTATTAACATGTGTCATATGTTATCTGTATTAGTCTTGTGTGGACCAACAGTGAGTAAAGTATTTTTTTGCCAAAATTTATGTGAAGTTGTATATGTTTGGATTCGACTCAGCTTTGTTAGTGAAATTTTGGTTAGAAATTCCATCAAAAAAATGAATATGGTAAATCGTGCGGTCGTAAAGTTTCATTTATTCAAGCTGTAACATTGTTGTATTTTTTGGATCATCAGGTTCTATGTTTGATCAGAATATTTCCCTATTCCCCCCCCCCCAACCCCAAAAAAAAAAAAAAAAAAAGGGAAAGGGGAGGGGGGGAGACGATCAGTGCGTAATAAACATCTCTCGGCATGACTATATGGAAATTTTTACAACAAACGAGTTGAGCCAAACTTTAAGGTGTCCAAGCTAAAGTGTAGTTTAAAGAATTGAACTCCAACTCAGCTCATCAAAAAATTGAAAAACTTGATTTAGGCTTGAACAAACTTAATTACATAAACGAGTCGAGTTCGAGTTAGATAAAATAAATAAATAAATAACTTTTTAAGTAATATGCACGTAAAGGGTAAAAATAAATAATTATGACTAAAATATTAATAATTTTTATCAATTAAATATATAAATTCACACAAGCATCATACATAAATAGGGAAATAATATAAATTGAAAACTTATTTTAATTGTTTATTATTGTGTTTATGAGCCTATTCGAGATAAGTTAAATTACTGAACAGGTCTAAATTTCTAGATCAAGTTGATCCATTTTAAATTGTTCATCAATAATTTGATTTGTTTGTAATTATAATATTTTTAATCATTCTCACGTGAGAGAGAGAGAGAGAGAGGATAGCTTGGGATTTGTTTGAGATTATTAAATTAGTTTGAGGATATAAAATTAATTTTATATTTATTTAAATAATTATATTCTAATGTTACACATGAAATGTCACTTTCAAAATATTTTTAAAAAAATTAATTATTAAGGATATTTTAGATGATTTGAATCTGTGAGTCTCGAATAGCAATGACAAGTTAACTCGGAAGGAACCACCCACTAGTTAACGTTCAATCTTTCAAGGGAACACCCTGTAATGATTAATGCAATCAACTCTGTTTGGTGATTTGAAATGACAGTTGACCTAGAATTGGATTTTGGCAGTGGAAAAAAAAAAGGGAGATGCTAGAGAGCTCTAAATCTAGAGCTTTAATTTGAGCTCTAGTGATGTGTCCAAGTAATAAAAAATAAAAAATAAAATAAGGCAAGCCACAAACATCACATCAGAGTGGGTCTCACATTCCCATTAGAGCTATTAGAGCTCCTATATTAGAGCTCTAAATCATTTTTGAAAAAAAAAAAGTTTAAGAGTATCTCTATCCAAAACTTTAAAAATAAATTTATTTGAACGCTCAAATTGACAAATTGACACATAAATTTTGATCTATTGCTTTTTTTTTATAATAGAAAATTGATATATAAATTTTTAAAAAGTATTTTATTTCACATGTCAAATTTATTATTTTATTTTAACTTTGTTAGATTCAAATGTCAAGTTTTCCTGGTAATGCACTTTATTGTAGGTCTCACAGAATAAACAAATAACAATAATAATAAAAAGAATTAGTATTTTTATGTACACAAAATTTGAATATTGGAGAATGTAATCGAATTCTCCTGTGTATTTAGAAGTTTTTGATAGGAATTGATATTTAGGGGTTGTTTGGGATGACTTGAATAAGTGTATTTTTTGTTTTTTTACGAAAAGATGTGTAGAAAAGTAAAGAAGTGATGTGATGAAAAAAAGATAAAAAGATAAAAAAATGAATTATTTTACAGTTGTCAAACTTAGCCTTATTTTCTCATGGCTAGATTGCATCTAGTCTTTGATCTGGACTGTAAGATTCTATCCGGGCACGTAGGGCCTACCATGGTTCCTTTTTAATCTTAATAATTAATTTTTATAGGGCTCTTCGTGTATATCAGCTACAAAAAAAATCTGATCGATCCGATAATCGTAATATGTTTAATTTATCACGTTTGTCATCAAAAAAACGGATGGTCTATTTCAAAAATACAGTTGTGATCTATTTTTTTGGAAGCAAATAATTAAATATGTTACGATTATTAAATCGATTTAGTTTTTGTGTGGATAATATACACGAAGGGTTTACAAAATAAACGGTTCAAATTATTGAAATAAGGTCTGTAGTGAATCTTATGAGCCCAGACAACTCTAGTCCATATCTTGAATTGGAGGGAAGTGTAGCCCCACTTTCCCATATGCCAAATTTGACAGAGGAAGTAAGGCCAAATGCCACGTAGACAAAGTTTTAAAAAACTGTCGCAACCGTTACATAACACCGTTAGATAACAATTATGGTGGTTACCGCCACCCGTTACAGCCGCTATAGCAATGTGACGAAAATTCACATGTTCATTTTGGTGTTATGTAACAGCCGTAGCAATACTGTAATGGCCGTAATAGTCCGTTACACACTTTTATAATGCTCTGAATAGCTTCCTTTCAAAAAAAACAAAAAAACAAAAGTTTACAAAAAAAACAAAAAAAAAAAGGAAGAACAAATAATCAAATGATTCAAGGCCAAAGAAAAAATCTTATAGAATTTTTTTCTTTATAATTTATTTTTAAATTTTTATTTCATTACATTAACATGTAAAAATAAAAAAATATATAAACAGTGATTGTATTTATTTTTATAATCATTTTATTTAATATTTCATTATAAATATTTTTTTATTTTGTTACTATAATATATTGTCTAAAAAATGTCTTTAAAAATAAATTAAATCAATAGTTTGCTATATTCAAAACTCGGTGATCTTACTTCGGCTAAAGTGAGTCAGGCTCTGGTAACCCTTTGAAACTTTCAAGCTCTAGTTCGGCTATTGACTACAGAGATCTACGTATTTGGGGCAAACAGGATCCTAGTTCGGTTGCTATGTGATTTTGGATCTAAGACTAGTTTTTCTACATAACAGTTCATACACGTACAAGTTCTACGATTTTTTTTTCATGAAAATACAGAAGCAAACCAGAAATGGACAAAATGTTTGCAAAAAACACACGAAACAAGATATACAGATGCATAAAACAAATGTGAAAGCAAAAATACATGAAGGGAAAGTGGATTCGCTTACCAGGTTAAAGAAGAAGGGACTGAAGTTGAAAATTTGTTGCAGTAAAAAGAAGAACACGAACAGCAAGAGAGCGGAGAGAGAAGATGAAGAAATGGAAAAAGTGAAAAGACCTAGCCTCAGGGATGGTTTTTGCCCAAAATTTGGGCTTGACTGTTCAAAATTCGCGAAGTACGAAAGACGGCGTGACAGCCGTCCTCAGCCTATCAGAATCTGCCACGTGTCATTGGAAGGGGAAGCGTTACAGTCGCTGTGATTGAAGAGACGTTTTGACCGGACGTAGTGAAGCCCGAAGTAAAATTAGCTCGGTTGGAGAGCCCGAGGGTTTTTCGCTCGGCTGGAGAGGCTAAAGGGTTTTTAACTCGGCTAGAAAGGCTTAATAAACTCTAGCTCGGCCAGTAGACTGGTAATCCCAATCATGTTGCGCAGATGGAATTAAGGGGCAATTGAGAGGGTAATTTTTGGGAAAAATTGGGCCGAGCTGCGAGTTGGGCTTTGAGGCCCAAAACGCGAAGGACTAACTAAAAAGGCTGCGATGTTACTCCAGCCCAGGAGAAGTGTAGTTACTCCGGCTCAAGAAGGGATAGTTGCTTTGGCCCAAGGAAGAGTAAAGCTACTCCGGTCCGGAGGCAACTTGGAGTTAGGCCGGTCTCAGAGTTAGTCCGGTCGCAGTATGTTCTGGGTAGGCCGGTTTCAGAATTAGTCCGGTGGCAGTTTGAAGTAAGTCCGACCTTGCATTTAGTCCGGTCGTGACATACTATGGTTAGGTCGGTCAGAACTTGCTACTTGGAAGTTTGATCTAAACACACCAAGGTTGAACAGGGGCAGCCGAGGTAAGAAGTTAGAGGAGGAGACCGAGCTAAGGACAGTTCGGCCCTTTGTGGCTCGGCATAGCCAATTTTACTTCGGTCACATGGAAGTTCGGCCATGGAGAAAACCATCCCACTTGGTTTAAGCAGTGGAGGGTGTAAAAGGATAAGC